ACCCACAATGGCAAACATTGTTTCATATTTTGGTAGTCCTTCAGCCGAATTGCCTCTGCCTCGACAACCAACATTTTTTATGAATAATGGAATAGCAGGGGAATCCAGTTCAGGCTCTAGATCTTTATACTCTGTAAATGATTTGTCTATTAGTAATTCTTTCCCTCGGTGATATGATACTAGGTCGATTTCTGCAGCCATGATTTCTTTAGCAGTATTGGATGTATTGAGGGAATTATATATTCTGAGCATTTTCTTTTTAGTTTTTTTTTGGGTGAACTGGTCTCATGGTTACTTCATTAGTATTTTTGTGAATTATTATTAATTTTAAAGTTATTCTTTTAAATAAAATTTCCTGAAGTACTATGCCAGATAATCAACATCAACAAGCAAGCTTATCTCATCTAGTAAGGTAACATTTGTTGTTATTATACTAGATAATCAAAGCAAATATGTTTGACAAAATTAACAAGTATTTTTATCGACATTATTTTATGTGTTTAATTTAGGCATGTCCAAATGTAGAGTCGGGAATAAGGGCTGGGCTTGAAGAGCCTTCCGTTTAAGCTTATTTTTATAAGGGTTCGAACTTGAAAAAATGACATTTTTTTTTTTAGGAAAATTGAGCTTTCAAGCTCGGCTCTGAAAAAAATAGCTTGGGCTCGGGCAATCCTTTTAGGCTTGTTTTTATTTTTTCCTTAAAAAATAAAATATTTTTAATTTTTAAACATTATAATTTGTATTTTTAAAAAATATATGAAATATTATAATAAAAAATTTAATTTTTAAAAATTTTAAAAAAATAAAAATAAAGGCTTACGGGCCTGGCCTTGAGCCCTTTATATAAGGGCCGGGCTTTAGAAAATGAGGTATTTTAAGAAAATTGGGCATAAGGGCCTGAGCTCTTAAGGGCCGGGCTCATGAGGACTAAGCTCATATAAGTTGGGCCTATCCGTTTACCAACTCTATCCAAATGATTCTTGGCTATATTGACGGAAAAGATTAAAATTTTAAATTTTTGTAATTGGTCAATGTTTTGATTTATAAAATATATGAAAATTAATATTCAATAAATATATCAAACATGTGTAAAAATAAAACGTTAAAATTAAATATATCATCATTGATGAGCACCAAAATAATCCCAAAATGAGGCGACACTACCATTTCTTCAATGTCTATAATTTTCTTCTCTCTCTATTTTTTTTAAAAGGTTGACAAAAGCTCAAGTTAAAAAAAAAAAAATCTGCACATTTTTTCCTTACAGTGTGATCGGCCTATAAAAAAAACTAATAGGAACATAATTAAAAAAATCCACCTATTTTTTTTTGGAAAAATAGCATTTAAGGACCACTATGTGATATTTATATGAGACAAAAACTAAATGATTTCATATTTTTTCTGCAGTCCTCTGGTCCTTCTTACATATTAATTTCATAAGTGAAAAGATTGAAATGTCCCTCAAGTAGTTAAAAAAAATCCCACCGTCACCGGCGTTGGTTATCGAACCACCGCCAGAGCCCTTGCCGCCGGCGGCAGGCCGCTGGAGCTTCAATGACAGTGATGACAATATTTTATTTGAGAAATAAAGTTTTTAGGTGGCCAAGATAGGGTTTAAAGCCCTTTAATAACATATAGCAAAAAAAATATAAGTAATAAACTAAGCTTCCAACTACTTTCACGTAATAACGCAATGGTGTGTTGGTAGTTTCTAAATGAAACTTGTTATTTTACAAATATTACTTATTAATCTGACATAAAAAATTACAAATTAAAGGCTTTAAAACTTCACATATTTTACTTGTTAAACATCCCAATGTATTATTGTCAATCACAAATAGGTTATTGTCAAAACCAAATAAATACTTGTTAATGAATGACTGACACGTACAACTAAACCCTTCCTATTAATTTGTCTAATTTGTTAAAATCATAATAGATTCTTGTTAATTTTGAATGAATTGTTGTTATTTTACAAATGTTATTTGTTAATCTGATGTGGACAATTACAAACTAAGGGTTTTAAAACTTCATGCATTTTACTTGTTAAATGTCTTAATGTATTGTTATCAATCACAAATAGGTTGTTCATGATTTTAACAAGTTAGAAAAATTGATAGGAAGAGTTTAGCTCATTCAAAATTAACAAGAATCTATTATAGTTTAACAAGTTAAAAAAATGATAGAAAAAGTTTAATTATACGTGTTAATCATTCATCAACAAGTATCCATTTGGTTTTAACAGCAATCTATTCGTGATTGACAATAATATATTGGGATATTTAACAAATAAAATATATGAAGTTAAAAAACCCCCCAATTTCTAATTATTCACATCAGATTAATAAGTAACATTTGTAAAATAACAAGTTTCGTTTAGAAATTAATAACACACTATTACATTATTACATGAAAGTGATTAGAAGCTTGGTTTACTACTTATATATATTTTTTGCTATATGTTACTAAAGGGTTTGGCCACCAAATGTTTTAGGTGGTTAAGAATCATAGGATCAAACCCTCCCTTGACCATGTAAAAACTTTATTTTTCAAATAAAATGCTATCGGTGTCGGAGCTTCGGCGACCCCTTGCTAGCAATTGGGGCTCCGAGAACCTCACCGCCAACGGGTGGTCTGATAGCTGGCAACGATGGGATTTCTTTTCTTTTTTTTAAACTACTTTAGGGATATTTTAGTCTTTTCATTTGTGAAATTAATATGTAAGAAGGGTTAAAGGACTGCAAAGAAAATATAAAATTATTTAATTCTTATCTCATATAAATATCACATAGTGGTCCTTGAATGCTATTTTTCCTTTTTTTTTTAAGACAAAACCCACCTATTCATTGACATGGCTCATAGACACCGTAAACAAAGCCACAATTTTTATTGTTTAGTAGTTATGCTTAATTATTTATTACCCCTAAACCAGTCTATGGTATTGAAAACCCTTAAAGAAAAAAAAACCTTAGATATGTTAGGTTAAGGGGATCCCAAATTTAGCCATTAAAATTTACTTATGTATAACAAATTTTGGAGTTAAAAGTACACTTTTACTCCTGTACTAATAAGTGAGGCATTTTTCTCTTATATTATTTTCTAGATAAGCAAAAATTCTTCTATTAGTGATTCATTATCAGAGAGGAATTTTTGTTCAAATGAAAAATAGTTTAGGGGGGAAATATCCCACTTACTAGTACATAAGGTCTAGCACTCCTTAAAGGAAATTACAGAGAAAAAAATACACTTTAACCTCTTGAAATATATAAATGATAATGAGATCTCAAAAAATGCCATGATTCTTCTTAAGTTCCCAAAAACCTTACAGACGTTAATGATTTTTTTGTAAAAAAAAAACTAATATACCCCCAGTTTAAAATAAAAAAATAAATATTAATAACTATTTTAGTTTAAGTAATGATTACTTTTCTTCTAACAATGACTAGAATGAAACAATCAATTATAATTTTTATTGTACAAATTTTTGATTCACTAGAGTCTAATGCCTCATTTGATTACTAAAAAGAAATAAAATAGAATGAATTAAAAAAATAAAAGTAAAAATAGGATAATCAAAAAGATAGTTGAACATATTCATAAGGAGGAAGGATAATTTAATTTATGAGTTGGGAATTATGATTAATAAAATTTTTGGAGGGTTTGATAATTCTCATTTGTATTATATATTGATGAGTTTTTATCGTGCTTATCATGGAGAAAGAGTGATTTAATTTATTTTTATCTTAATTTTTTTAATCCCTTCCATTCCATTCCATTTTAGTAACTAAATGGGATTTAAGTGTTGTAAATATCCATAACTACTTTAGTTTAAGTAATGACTTTTTTTTTATAATGACCAAAGTGGAACAAATAGTTACAACTTACCCCCTGCAAATAAGTAATTACAACTTCCCCAATGCAATTGTAATTGTTTGTTTTATCCTAGTCATTGTCAGAAAAAAAATTATTGTTTAGATTAAAGTAGTTACTAATATTTATTTTTAAGTTAAAATACATTTATGTTCCTATACTTTTCTTCGAGGAGTGCTGGATAACCTATATTAGTAAGTGTGACATTTTTTCTCCTAAATAATTTTTAAGAGGAGTAAAAATCTTTCTTTATTAATAATTCATTTTTTGCTTTTTAGTATAAGGTACCTAACTATCCTTAAAGACATACAAGAGTAAAAATACATTTTAACTTTAAATTTTAGTTGTTGACCAGGCTTGTACATCATGCACAAGGATTCTTTTTTACGCATGCTCAGTCTATCCAACAAAAATCCTTCACTCGGTTTTGTCATCTGCAACTCCGGTTTCAATCGTCGATTTTATTTTATTTTTATTTGGGACTCTTGGCTTGTAGCCGTACGATTCCAAAATAAAAAAATGAATATGAATTTCTTACCCACTAAATTTTGGTTTGCTGAGGAAAAAGTCCAGTTATGTGGTTGCCTAATTGAACATGTCTGATTTGACTAGACAAACGATCTTTTGAGTTTTCACAACAATACCAGATAGTCCTTCTGGTCAAAAATTAAAGGTCAATAAAGTTGGCATGGCCTCCAAAGGGGATCACGAGCTGCCTTGGTCAACCTTCAACCCACAAATTCATGCTTCGAAATTATAATTCATTTTAGTAATGCTCACACCAAGAATTCAGGTAAATCCATGCTTCGAAAGTGGGTTAAATTTTCATGCAGAAAAAATTAGATTAAATTGGCCCGATCGATGAACTTCCAGTAGAAGGATCCTACTATTATTGGCACTTGGTCCAGTGGAAAACTCAAAGCCTTGAATTTTTCTTCTTCGATTTGAAGATGATCTGTTTGTGTTTGTGCCTGAGTCATGGTTTTGAATGTTTCAAAGAAGGTATTTTAAAAAACTGGATGGCGAACCATTCACTCAGCCATCCTTCATTATTAGTTGCCCATCTTCTAAGCTTCAGTCTTTCATATTTTACTTCTTCCAAGCCATTCCTCTAGATCACAACAAGAGCAATGGCTGTGGTTTCTCTTAGGATGCTTTCATTTCTCTATCTTCTTTCCATACTTGTATCTCAAGTCACGGCCCAGCCAGATTTCCTGTCTCATGAATGTAACAATGGAAATGGCAACTACACTGTTAATGGTGCCTACCAGGCCAACCTCAACACCCTTTTGTCCAATATTGCTTCTGACACACAGGTTGACTATGGTTTCTACAACTTCTCTCGGGGCCAAAACTCTGACAAAGTTAATGCAATAGGGTTGTGTAGAGGAGATGTTGCCCCGTATATTTGCCGCAGTTGCCTCAATGATTCTAGAATCCGTCTCACAGAGATGTGTCTAAATCAGATGGAAGCAATTGGATTCTATGACAATTGCATGTTGCGTTATTCAAACCGTTCAATATTTAACACCGACGAAACTTCACCTCACTTCTGTTTGTCATCCACTGCTAACGCAACAGATGTTGATGAGTTCAATCAGGTGTTGAGGAGTTTGCTGGATAGTTTAACTGGTAGGGCTTCATCGGGGAACTCTCTTCTTAAGTTTGCAACAGCAAATGTTGCGGGCCCAGACTTTCAGACTCTATTTGGTCTTGTCCAGTGTACACCTGATTTATCTCTGCAACAGTGCAGTGACTGCTTAGTTGGGCCAATCTCAGGACTCCCAGAATGTTCAAATGGCAAGATTGGTGGTAGAATTTTAAGACCAAGCTATAATTTTAGATATGAAAACTACCGCTTATACAACGAAACCAATGATTCAACACCACCATCAGAAGGTACCTGTCATTTTAGGCTTACAATTTCTTAGATAAAAAGGCTTTTGGACTTTGATTGAGTTCTTCATCTGACGGGAGAAAGGATAAGCATTAAGCAATCTACTGAAAATTTAGTTGTAGGATATGTAGTTTCTAGTAAATGGTGGCCTTTCCTCTGTTTGCTCTAGTCAGATTGGTATCTTCATCTTGTCATCCTCAATTTTCTAATCGTCTTAATTATCATTCTTTTTGTGTTTTTTGCAGGCAAGAACAACACATCACGAACTATAATTGCCATAGTTGTTCCAATTGGTTCCGTTGTTGTCTTGCTCATCCTTGTCTGCATCTGTTTAAGAATGAGGAAGCCATGGAAATATATTAAAAGTAAGTCAAGATAGTCTCTCGAGATCTCTCAATTTAGGCCTACCATGTATACAGTGTGAAAATTGAATGGTTGAAAGTTTACAAAATACCATAGATGGACATCTATTTGAACAATGTATATAATATCCCATGGCGTAAAGCAATCTCCTAAAGTTTTACTTACCATCGATTTAGAAGCAATAATAAAATACCTTTTCTTTTAATTGTTAAAAGTCTGTTTTGATTCAATTACAATTAGTATGAAGTAAAAACATAGATGGAATCATTAGCATAACTCTTTAAAGTTTCCATAATAACAATGTGCCTTTTCCATAAAATCAAATAATTCACTTTAGAATTATTTTCAGACGATGGAGTTGAAGCTATCAGTGAAATTAGGTCATCTGAGACATTGCAATTGAAGTTTGACAGTATAATAGCCGCCACAAATAACTTTTCTGAGGAAAATAAGCTTGGACAAGGTGGATTTGGACCTGTTTACAAGGTAATGATTACAATGTTAAATTGAAAATATGATACATCTTGCTCTTGTCAAAATGGGGTGCACCATTATAGTTGGTTGTGAATCACAAATATCAACCCCTCACTATTTTCAGGGTAAGCTTATTGATGGACAAGAAATTGCTGTGAAAAGGTTGTCTAGGAATTCTTCCCAAGGAGATGTAGAATTTAAGAATGAAGTTTTGTTAGTAGCCAAGCTTCAGCATCGAAATTTAGTTAGACTACTTGCCTTTTGTTTGGAAAGTCAAGAAAGACTATTAGTGTATGAGTTTATTCCCAATAAAAGTCTCGATTACTTCATATTTGGTAAGTTGAAACTTTTGTTTGATTGGACTGTGTCTATTTCATCATGTCTGTTTATGTATAGTTCATAACATTTCGAACAGTTCAAAAAATCATTTGTTTGCTTATGCATGCAGATCCAATCAAGCGTGCAGAGTTATCTTGGGAAAAGCGATACAAAATCATAGGAGGCATTGCTAGAGGACTTCTTTACCTTCACAAAGATTCTCGCTTGCGAGTTATTCATCGTGATCTTAAAGCAAGTAACATTCTTTTAGATATAGAGATGAATGCAAAAATATCGGATTTTGGCATGGCAAGATTAGTTGGAAGGGACCAGACTCAAGATAATACTAGTAGAGTTGTAGGGACATTGTAAGTATCCCTATATTTATAGACTAGCAAATTATCCTAAATATTATTGTCAGCCAAAAGTCCAAAACACTAAGAAATTTCCAAGATAATTGTGAGCAAAGTTTTTGACATTTATATCTAATTGTACCTTTCCATACTAATATGTTGCATGGATACTTGAATATGTACAGTGGATATATGGCACCTGAATATGTATTGCATGGACAATTCTCAGTAAAGACAGATGTTTTTAGTTTTGGAATACTAGTTTTAAAGATTGTGACTGGTCGTAAAAATAGTGAAGTTTTCCAAAGGGAGAATGCAGAGAATCTAGTCACCTTTGTAAGTGTTGTTGCTTTGCATTATTTATCTTACTTTTCTTTTAAAGCGCATGACTAGAATTTTGTGTGCTATGAATCTAAAAGTTACTGTAGAAGGAAAAAGCTGAGGTTTTCTGCTATTATGATGATACCTTTTACAGGCATGGAGAAACTGGAGGGAAGGAACAGCCACAAGTATTATGGACCCTGCAATTACCGGAGGTTCGAGAGATGAAATAATGAGATGCATCCACATAGGGTTGCTCTGTGTTCAAGATGATGTAGCTGACAGACCACCCATGACTTCAGTTGAAGTCATGCTTAATAGCTACTCAGCCACTTTTCCATTGGCCTCTCAACCTGCTTCTTACATGAATAGTAGAAATTTTTCTTACAGCAGATCAGGAGATTATACTTCAGGGGATACAAGCATTAGAAAATGACGCATCAGTAACCGCTCAGCTATTTCCTTGTTAGAACGATTATTCAATTACTCTCTAGGTTCTATTGCAGAGAATATAAAAATGTTGCAGCTCTCAAAGAAAATGGGATTACGTAACTTGATGTATTCTTTGACATCCTGAACACCATGAAGATTCATTTTTTATTTGTTTTGGATCAGCTCATTTGTATATATTAATATATTTAATATTATATATAATCATTCGTAAATCAAGTATTCAACCATTGGTTAATGTTTAATATTAAGGTTTCTATTATTGTTAGTTTCTCTCTTATTTTAAGCATGATTGACAATGGGGGTTATCTTTGTTATTATTTCTGTTTCTTTTTCAGTGTATGGTTTTTGTTTCCTCTGTGAACTTGAGGGTTGTAGCTGTTAGAAAGTGCGCAATAATCAGCAAAAATAAATAAGATAAAATAATTAAAAATTATAGAGAAGTTAGAAAAAGTAATAAAAAATGACACATGAAATTTAACGTGAGAAAACCCCCAATTTGAGGGACAAAAACTCTCAAGCAATGAACAAGTAATTTCACCATAGAAAATGAAAAATACAATAATTGTCTCTCTTTTAAGAGATAGAGAGATTAGAGCTTCTTATCAGCCAAAAATATTATCTTAGATAATAACAAATATCTCCTGAAATATCAAATAGAAATATGATAGATTTATATCAAGATAATATATAAAAATAATCACAAAGGATTATGAAAATTTGAGTCATAATCTCAACAGTAGCCATTCTTTCCCACTTGTTCTGCCTCTCCCCTTTTATCTCATCTCCCTGTTCCACCCGTTTTCCCTTTATGATATTCTACCAGTCTCACATAAATTTATAAATAATTACTTGTATAACTAAAGATGTTCTTTCTCATTCTTCATGGCCTCTGTGTTTGTGTGTATGTGTGTAGGAGGACTACATGAAGAGAATGGATGGCTTAATTCATGATTAATACATAATTCCCCATGAGCTATATATGTTACTCTCTTTCTTTGTCACTCATTATTAACATATGTCTTTGGCCAAAAAAACTAGTAAGAGATGCTAAAAAAAAAAAAAGCTTCTGATATATGAAAGCTAGGAAGTAAGGCATGTCCCTTGAAATATGGTTTTTATTCTCTATTGACAAAGCTGCGCCAATTCCCCATTTTCATTCCTTTTTCTATGTTTTTATAATTAATTCCACCATATAACAAAACATACCGATCTCTTGGGCCACAAATTCACTTTTATTGTTAATGATTTGATCATACAGGTCTTGACGAGAGGGTAACCTGGGTGGTACGCTAACCCAGAACAAGTAACAACCTAAAAAACTTGCACACTACTCACCCTAGTCCAGCTGGCCATAGATTTGCTAGCTATAATCAAGACTTGATAATTCTAGAAACTTAACTAAGATTATTGCCAAGCATTTTATCTAATTCTCTAACTAACATCTTCATAGAATCCGCAGGCAAGCAAATTGGCACTACAACACCTTCCTCTCCTTGTGCATTCTTACAAGCAATGAAATAGCTTATTTCAGGAAAAGGTCCAAAACCTGCAATTCCAGGCCCACCATATACAGCCTTGCCCCAACCAAAATCTACATCTCTAAACCCAACACGCGTTAAATTCGAGACCAGCCACGACCTTGTTAGAATGAAGCTTGGTCGCCCTCTAATCACCATAAGATCTGCTACAGACTGTATATACTCCACTGTTGCCTCACTTTTCGCTTTCTTGACTAGCTCTAAGGCAAACTCAAACGAGTTTCCACACAGCTTCCCAGCAGTGGTAACTACGGTGGGGTACATAACGGCATTGCCATAATAACCAAGAGGCACAAATGAAGGGTTGGACTTACTACGAACATTACATGCACACACAAAACGAACCTCCTCGTCTGGATCAAGCTGCAATGATATGGTTCGAAGACGCCACAGGAATGCTGTAAGTACCTCAAATGTAGTGTGTTGACCATGGTGGTCATTGGGAAACATTTGATGGATGGCCTCTAACTCGTTGGATCCAAAGAAGAAAGAGTGGTGGGACATGTCTTTTGTCATTTTTGTATCATTAGGCACTTCCTCGTACTCAAGATGAGTGAATGTAATACGAGGTGGATCCCTTGCATTTAGCAGCTCTCTATGCCAAATTGGGGGAATGGAAGGCTCACAAGCACCCTGAGCAATCTCTGCTAAGGCCTTCAAGAATTGAATAAAACCAAGAGCATCACTCATAGCGTGGTTCAGGCGAAATGCTAATATGAAACCACCACACTTGAGCCGTGTAACCTATTAAAAAAAATATGCAATATTAGCTTGCTTACCGATTAAATCTTGCAAAATGGATACAAGTAAGTACGTTTTTAATTTAGACCTGAACAAGCAAGAGTGGACAATTGATGATTCCTTCTGAGCCAGGAACGTTATAAAGGATCTCTTCGAAACACGGGATTGGAGGTTGAAGAGGGTGACCAAATTGTTTAAGAGTGACATCTGCATCAGCTTCAATGAAGATGACGCCTTCCTCATTACAATCTACCATAAGTTTACGACAAGGACCTTCCCTGAGCCGACCTGCAAATGGGTAGTAAAAGACTAGAGTTTGAGATAGTGCCTTTTTGATAGAGTGAGCAGGGTCCTTCCCTTCCATGGATGGCTTGTCAGGATAAAAGAATACTGCTGAGATTTGAAATCGAAGACCATCTTGGTCATCTATGTCTGAGAGTAGCTTAACCTCATGTGGGGTGGGCCTAGCAGGAGCTATCAATTCTGGTTCTTGCCTTATCACAGTAAACACTTGATCAGACATGTTGCCTGAAAAACTGAAGTTGCAGCGAGAAAGAACTAGTCCAAGCTATTGTAGTTTCCTTGAGCGGGCTTATATTTGGAGATAGTACTATATGATATATATTTATATTGGTGGACTAATAGAAACTTGTGCCCAGTTCATTAATGCAATTAATGCCAATTTTGACCTTTTTAATGACATTAATTGCATTAATGTCATTTATGACTATTCTAAAACTTTTGTTTAATGCAGTCAATGAAAGTAGTTGTTTGACGTAATTAATTGGATTGTCTTAAAAAAGTTGCTTATGGGTGCACTTAAAAAAATTAGCTAGATTGGGGAAAAATCAGCTCAATTTTATAAGAAGTTTTTATTGGGTAAAATTACTGAATTATGAAAAACGGACTAAAAGCATCGCGTTATTGGTTGGAGCGGCTGCTTTTCATTATAAAAAGTTCATTTTTCTTCATTATCGTTTTGTTTAGCATCTAAGTATGAGCATTACATTAAAAAATAATAAAAATTACAATAAAAAAATAACACCAAAAACATCCCTCTTATACTCTCAAATCAACTTAAAAATGGGACTTTTTATGTATAATTATACATCAGATTTGTATTTTTCAATGTGCTTGTTAATATGAGGTCGATTATTATACAATTTTAATAAGAAATCAATAAAAGTTTATATATTTTACTCAAAATATAAAGAACTTGGATTCTCACTCTTTGGATGGGATTGTTTTCCAGTTAAAAGAGCAGAAAAATGACTGGGCTATTTTCCATGTGATACAGCATTTTTTTTTTTTGGGCCTGAATGCGTGGGCTTTGAACAAACTCATCACAAACAGTACTTTTGTATAATAATAAATAAAGAGGAAAATAATCTTTGTTTAACTTTAATAATGAAATAACTGATAAGAGTTGAATCTAGTAGAAGAGGTTAGTCACTTATAACATGAAAAATTAAAGTTTGAATCTTTGTTAAAAAAATACCTGCATTTAATGTCCGATAATGTCTCGAATATGATTGTCTCAAATAGAAGAATATCTGTAAGTAACCAAAAAAAAAAAAAACTATAACAATGAAATTTTTTTATAAAATTTTAAATAAATAAAAAAACATATCAATTATTTTCCCTTAATTTTTAGAAACATATAACCCAATATTATCTTTCACAAGATAATATAGGATTCCAAAAAAAAAATAAAGAAAATACCACTGATTTCATAATTGGACAAAAGAGTTATAAGGAAAAAGAGTTTGCGTCTATTACTAATAGAATCATCCCTCAAAATTCAAATGCAGATAAAACTAAATAGCCTCATTTTATAATGATAAACAATAAATAAACTACATTAAATTGTATGTTAAATTCTGAGTTGTAGATCATCCAGTAAAGGGGGGGGGGGGGGGACTGTCCCTTCATATTCTTGCTAGAACGTAACCCAACGTGGAAACAAACCATAAGAAACATTTCAGCTGGCCCAGACATCTGGGTTACAAGAATGCTTCACTGCAAAGGCAGCATATGTATACTATACTCAAGCTAATCTTAAACTCGGTGTAGTTAAGCTAAAAAAATTGACACAAGCTGCAGTAACTATTGTCTGGTATTTAAAGTTCTTTGCCAACCCAATAAAAGATATCTCCTGTTCTGAAATGAAATTATATACCAGTACTTGGGAAGTGAACATTCTGTGGATAGATGATCCTGGAACCTGTACATAATCCTCGCAGTAGTCATAAACCACCAATTTGTATACTGAAGCTGTACTGGTTCCATCAATTTGTAGCGCTAGCTAGATGACCTACAGAAACTGGGATTCTCTTTATTATGATTGGTTATCTCTTAATTATTATGGTATGGTGGTTTAATATTTGGTTAAGTAAGATAGATATTACAGGCCATAGATTAATTTGCTCAAGACTTGATAATTCTAGAAACTTAACTAAGATTATTGCCAAGCATTTTATCTAATTCTCTAACTAACATCTTCATAGAATCCGCAGGCAAGCAAATTGGCACTACAACACCTTCCTCTCCTTGTGCATTCTTACAAGCAATGAAATAGCTTATTTCAGGAAAAGGTCCAAAACCTGCAATTCCAGGCCCACCATATACAGCCTTGCCCCAACCAAAATCTACATCTCTAAACCCAACACGCGTTAAATTCGAGACCAGCCACGACCTTGTTAGAATGAAGCTTGGTCGCCCTCTAATCACCATAAGATCTGCTACAGACTGTATATACTCCACTGTTGCCTCACATTTTGCTTTCTTGACTAGCTCTAAGGCAAACTCAAACGAGTTTCCACAAAGCTTTTCAGCAGTGGTGACTACGGCGGGGTACATAACAGCATTGCCATAATAACCCAGAGGCACAAGGGAAGGGTTAGACTTACTACGAGCATTACATGCACATATAAAATGAACCTCCTTGTCTAGATCAAGCTGCAATGATATGGTTCGAAGACGCCACAGGAATGCTGTAAGTACCTCAAATGTAGTGTGTTGACCATGGTGGTCATGAGGAAACATTTTATGGCTGGCTTCTAACTTGTTGGGTCCAAAGAAGAAAGATCGGCGGGGCATGTCTTTTGTCGTTTCTGTATCAGCAGGCACTTCCTCATACTCGAAATGAGTGCAAGTAATGCAAGGCGGGTCCTTTGCATTTAACAGCTCTCTACGCCAAACTGGGGGAATGGAAGGCTCACAAGCGCCTAGAGCAATCTCTGCCAAGGCCTTCAAGAATTGAATAAAACCAAGAGCATCACTCATGGCGTGGTTCAGGCGAATCGCTAATACGAAACCACCACACTTGAGTCGTGTAACCTATAAAAACAAGATGCAATATTAGCTAGCTTGCTTGTGGATGAAATGAAATCTTGCAAAATGGATAAAATAATACGTGTTTAATTTAGACCTGGACAAGCAAGAGGGGACAATTGATGATTCCTTCTGAGCCAGGAACATTATAAAGGATCTCTTCGAAACCAGGAAACGGAGGTTGAAGAGGGTGACCAAATTGTTCTAGAGTGACGTCTGCATCAGCTTCAATGAAGATGACGCCTTCCTCATTACAATCTACCATAAGTTTACGACCAGGACCTTCCCTGAGCCGACCTGCGAATGGGTAGTAAAAGACTAGAGTTTGAGATAGTGCCTTTTTGATGGATTGAGCAGGGTCCTTCCCGTCCATGGATGGCTTGTGAGGATAAAAGAATATTGCTGAAGTTTGAAATCGGAGACTGTCTTGGTCATCTGTGTCTGAGAGTAGCTTAACCTCACATGGGGAAGGCCTAGCAGGAGCTATCAATTCTGGTTCTTGCCTTCTCACAGTAAACACTTCATCAGACATCTGAGAGGACAAAAAAAGTTGCAGGGAGAAAAGTTCTCCGAGTTACTCGTATTGTAGTTTCCTGGAGTCCGTGGGTTTATCTTTTGATTTATAGGAAGATTGTATACTTATAATGGTGGATTGGGAACTTGTGCCCAGTTCATTAATGCAATTAATGTCATTTTTGACTATTCTAGCACTTCTGTTTGATGTAGGTTTTTCCCCCAGTTGTTTGATATAGTTAAGAGAAGTGGTTGTCTGTAACTTTTCTTTTTCTTTTTTTTGGACAAAAGTCGTTTGATGTAATTAATTGGATGAAGTTATAAAAATGTTTGTGTTCACATATTCGTGTGCTTAAACAAATTCTACCCAACTGGCAAAAAGAAAAAATTTCATTCTGTTTTGTAAGATATTTTTCTTTTAGTAAAATTAGGAATATAAATTAAATAATTTTTAAATTTTTATTCTTTTTAAAAAATATAAACTTTTAAAAGTACAATTCATTCAATAAGATTCCTTATTTTATATTATTATAGAGAAATATATTTAAAGAGAAAAATAATGAGAGTAATTTTAAAATAAGATTCATTGTCATTTTTTTCAAAATATTATATAATATGGAACATTAAATTATTAAAAAAAATCTTATAAATTATAAAGGAGTAAAATTCAGTTTAAATTCCATACACATACTATCTTGAAACACCAAAGCCAACTAACTTTTAAAAAGTCCTTGACATAGTAGAAGGCTAGAACCACACGGGTAGTGCGTGTTTGGTTTACATTTGTAGGAAATTTATTTTAGGAATCGAACTATTTGTTAAAAGTTTACCTAATTTGATAAAAGCATATTTTAAATATGATTTAAACATATTTTTAAGGATTACTTAAGCATGCCCTTCTTTCTTATCATGTCTAATTTTTCTTTATTTAATTTTATTTAGTACTTTCTCTTTTTCAAATTATAAAACACTTTTTAAAAAGATTTAACGTTTTAAAATATAATATATTTTAATAAAAATAAAATTTTATTAATAATATATTTTTAATATTACCCTTCACATTATAATATTTTTTTAATATTCTTTCATAAATAAAATATTAAATAAAGAGTATTTTTAAAAGTATATACTTTTATTTTAAAAAAATAAAATTATAAATTATATTTAATAAGTTTTAGTAGTATATGTAATAAATGACTTATAATTTGATAAAAAAATGACTTATAATTTAGGAGGAAGTGATTATTTAACTTTGAGCATTATATTGAAAAAAGAAACACAAATTACTATTAAAAAACATGAAAAAGAATCCATCTTATATTCAAATCAACTTAAAAATGGGACTTTTGTCTTTGTAATTATACATCAGATTTGGATTTTTCACCGTGCTTGTTAATATATGGTCGAATATTATTTGTCACTCTTGGGATGGGCTTGGTTTCCAGTTTGAAGAATAGTTAAAAGGGCTGGGCTTTTTGTGAGCCAGGCAAAACGTCATTTTCAGAGTAATAAATAAAAAGGGAAATAATCTTTGTTTAGAAAATTTTAAATAGTTGTATAAAAAAATTTTAAAAATAAAAGCACATGATTAATTATTTTCCCTTAATTTTTAGAAACATATAGCCCAATATTATAGTTTGAAGAGATATAGGATTCCAAAAAAAAAACGAAAATACTTCTGATTTTACAATTGAAAAAAACTAAAAGTTATAAAGGCAGTCATCCCTCAAAATTCAAATGCAGTGAAATTAAATAGCCTCATTTTATAATGATAAAACAAATAAACTACATTAAACTATATGTTAAATTCCAAGTTGCAAATCATCCAGGAAAAGGGGGGAAAAAAATAACTGTTCTCTCACCATATTCTTGCTATAATCCCACCTGGAAACTAGCCAGACGAAACATTTCAGCTGGCCCAGACATCTGGCTTACAATATTACACATATACTGAAGCTAATCATAAACTTGGTGAAGTTAAGCTAAAAATATTGATACAAGCTACAGTAAATGTCTGGTATTTGAAGTTCTTTGCCAACCCAATAAGAGATATCTCCTGTTCTGAAATGAAATTATATATATCAGTACTTGGGAAGTGAACATTCTGCGGGAAGATGATTGTGGAACCTGTGATAATCCTGGCAATAGTCATAAATCATGTGGTACTTCCTAACCCATCTGAGCCACCTTCTCTGAGAAGAACTCAGTGTGCTGAAGCTGTACTGGTTCCACCAATTTGTAGGACTAGATGCCCTACACGACCTGGGATTCCCTTTCCAAACACAGCCATCTAACCTGTAATTTGTGAAGGAAGATATAAAGGGTCCTTTTGTCCAGTTAATTTTATCATGGCCACCTCGTGTTGCCCAGCTATCTCCATTCCACAGTGTCACTTTCACACTCATTGGCTGCCATCTTGGATATGGCACTCCCTTATCTGCGTGGTTCCTGTACACCCTTATTGGAATCCTATCCACCATGAACCTGCATATAAGTTAAATGTGAATTCACACGCTTTTGATCTCTTTAACATTAGTCCCTCAAGGTTTTATCATGCAATTTGATTCGAATTCTGACAAGAGCTGTCTCTAACAAACTCTGATAATTAAGCTTTATGATAATCTCTAGCAGAGAAACAAGCTGAAGAGGCGCGTCTTACACAATCTGGTGCAGATTCCACAGGACAGAATAAGTGTGAAAATCTTTGGTTGGATCGAACCACAGATAAATCCGCTCCTCTCTGTTATCAAACCCGTCTGCATATATATTAGTTTGAACTATATATGGCTGCCCAGTCACGTTACCCAGAAACTCAAAATCTATCTCATCACGGTTTGGCTGATCTGAGGTCAACTGCATGACAACGCCATACTAGTTAGTTTCCTGATCTATAACTATTCCTGAGAGATTGAAAAGAGAAAAAAGTTTGTAAGCTGATGATAAGTAGAAATTGAAGAATTGCTCACGTAATAGGCTAGCACTGTGCCTGCAGAATGACCAGGAACTAGCTTAATTTGCATGTCCACCTGCCCAAACAAGAACATCTGGTTTGAAGCAAAGCCAGCCCCTAAAAGAATCAAAAGTCATGGGTTAAAAGCAGATTTGACAATTTAACTACGAAAATTAATCTCCTACTGAACCAAGCATGTGTATAATATATATAAATACCAGATTGTTGATCTAGCTTCAAGCTTCTGGTTCGTCCATCAGCAGAAGTGTTAACATGGGAAGGAGACCATATTACAAAGAAGTCCTTGTTGAAGTTCCCTGTTGAAACAACAGATGCAACTGAGACTTGAAACAAGCCCAAGCAAACTAACCCAATATCGAGGAAGACGAGTCTCGGAGTAGTGATATAGTGTGTCATGGCTTTCTCTGACAAAAGAAATATAGATGGCTTGTAAATGCAGCTGATATAAACTGAAGAGGCTATATATATATAGGTATTGCATGAAACTGTTTCCTTTCATTTTGGGTTTATAAAAGAATACCTTTGAAAGCAAGCAAAGGTGTTTAGCTGTAAGAATCTAAATGAAGTTCTGATTAGAACCTAGTAAATGTCACTTGTATATAACAAATGGATGACTAATAAAACATTAATGACCTGCTCTAAAGTGTAAATATAGCGAACTAATAATATTGTGTTTACACACACACACACACACACACCAGGCTTCGGGCACGCATTTAGGCTTTCTCAACAAGAGCCTTTTCCTTTCTGGTCCAAGCAGAAAGGTCGGAAAAGTGAAAAGCTGGCTAAAGATTTTTGTTGAGGTTGGAAGACTTGGTGTATAAAGCTTCCATGCATTTTTCTGATGGCCTCAGAAGATTTATTCCTTCCCACCTTTTCCTTTGGCCTCTAAATAAGTTAGGTATATAAATTCATCTCAACTTCAATTTAGCATCGCTTTCTTGGCCTGGGAGGAAAATATTTATGCACAGGCTAAGGAATCTTAAGTGCCGAAGATGTACGAAGCTAAGTAAGAATGGTTTTTTTTTTTTTTTAGAAAGTTAGATTAATTAAGAGTTGAAGTGATGGGAATTTCACTAAACCATTCCTCGTGTGTAAAAAAAAAAAATTTAGAGTTCTTTTAATTTATTTTTTGGTATAGTTTAGAGAAAAAAATGAACAAAAAATTATATACACACACATATCATTTTTTACTCCATCTGTTTAATGTTATAAAGAGCTTTTAATCAAATCACACCCTTAATTAGTTAATTATTTTTAAATTTATATATTATTTTCATATTTACCCTAAATAGAGTGTTTTAATAAAAAAAACCTTATTAATTGTATCTTTAAAGATCCAAAATATTTTACTTAAAAAAAGCCTTATTTTTTTTTTAATAAAGGAGTAATCTCAAAGAAATGTAACAATAAAAAATTAAGAAAACATATGATTGTTAATCAGTCACAAACACACAGTTTATTGAGTTGATAATTAACTGTCATGGTGTTGTTGACTCTATAGAAATATTGCTATTAATTATCATTGACATATTAATTAAATGATATTAATAGCAGTCTTAGCAGAGTATGAGGATGAGCATATTAAAGGGAGCGTTGCTAGCAGATTTAATGGTTCTGTATATATTTGTTTGTGTCCACACAGAAGAATCAACCACCTAAAATATCGCCAAAAGGGAAGTGTTGATGACGAATATGGTGCTAACTACTCCATTAATTAATTAATTAATTAATATTTAAAAAAAGGCCAAAAAATAGCAGAAAGAAAAAATTTGCATATCAAATTTGGATTGAAAGTCGTGATGAAAGGGACAAGCCGCGGACATTTGGCTTGGGAGAGCCACAAGAAGACATGTCACAGAAACTGAGATTTTTTTTTTTCTTGGTTTTTTCTCTAAAATAAAGCCACACAAATATACTACAAAATTGAACACGAACAAAATTTTGTGGGATGAGGCTGAATTTGTTGGATCTAACTTTCTGCGACGGTTCTGCCTCACCTTCTAGTGTGTAATGAGATTGTTTTAACTTGGTCAATAATGAAAAAAGAAAAATTAACCAGAAAAGCAAGCACTAATAACATAAAATGCAAGGTAAAATCGAATTCACAATTTCTCACATATAAAAAAAAAAAAAAACTTACATGCATGACTACAAGGCCATTCACATTTTTAATGAAATTTTAGTTGGCATAGAATTAAAATATTCTTTAAAAAATATTTAGAAAATGGCAAATATATATTATTGTAAATCTAAAAACCAATAATTATTTTGTTTACCAATTACCATTATGTTTTTTTTTTAAAGAACTCTACATCAAATTCACCCACAGAATTTATTAATACTGCTACGCTCAATTTTATAGTAAACACAAGGTGGTGGTGACGGAGGAATCCAAGTGAAAACTATTTATCACTAAACACTTTTCCTACTGTCTTCACAAGAAAGACAAAATGATTTTTGCGCATCTAAAAATATATTCTTTGTTTATCATTTAGTGTGTAACGTAATTAAATTAAATTTCGACAATAGTAAGAAAGTTTTTAAAAGTAATTCAACCATCCAATTTCACAAAAACATGAACACAGGTCCTTTTTTGGTAAACTAATTAAGTGAGTTGGGTCTCAAATTTATCAAGGTCAAGTATACTTAGAAATCCAAAAGGGAAAGCATTTATAAAGCCATTTGCATTGATAACGCCCCACAATTTTATAATTTATGAATCAAGTTCTTAAATAATTAGATCAATATTTAGTGATATATAAACACAGTTTTGGAGTAACGTTAATATTGATATCAGTTAAATTAAAATTAAAATTTTAATAATAAATCCCTAAAAATTACGCCAAACATCACCCCAAAACAAAGAAAGAAAGGTACAGACAATGCTTCTTGGTGGCGTTGATATTCGTAAATCCAGCGCAAGTCAAATCGTTTTCCTTGTTTTAGATCGTGTTTCTGCTTGTGCGCTCTTCTGTCTTCCGCTCGCTCCGAAGATAACACTCTCTCACCTAATAAATTAGTCCTCCCTAGTTTCACTACTTTTGCTTCCTCCTCTCTCTCTCTCTCTCTCTCTCTCTCTCTCTCACTTGTGATTGCTTCCTTCCTTCTGGCCTGGTCTGCTTATTCCGGTAATTGCCCCGCGCTCCCTCTCTTTTTCGTACAATGTTTTGATGCACTCGTTCTGGAATTTCTCTAACATGAACATGGATTTGCCTGATTTTCCTTTCAATGCTTGGTTTTCCCTCATTCGTTCAAGTAATTTTCCTTCGTAGACCCTTTACCTGCTTGCTTTTTCCTGGGAAATGTGCCTGGTATTTAAACTTACTCTATATAAAAGAGGGGGTTTTACTGTGAAAGAGAAAGTACGGGCTTTGATTCTTCTTCTCCATGATCTGCTACGGAATCTGTCTTTGTAAATTGTATTATTTATGAATCTTGAACTGGAGTTTGCGTATTGAATTATAATTTTGCTTCTTTAGGGTTTGATTCTTGCCTCTTCACTCTTTCTTTTCATTTTGTTCTTTTTGCGTTGTTTTCTTGAAACCTCATAATTACCGTCTTTCCCCTGGTATTATGGACGGAACTTGTAGATTTTGGTATTAATAGCACGAAAGGATATAGCGGAAGAATAATATTGTTTCCACCTCAAAGAACAGGCATCTTTTACTCTTTATTTTTTGCTTGATCTTTTTTTTTTTTCCTTTTTAGTAGTAATTGGGAAGAAATAAAGCGCATAGGGCAGGACTGTTACACCTGTTGTAGGATGAACCGTAGCAACAGTAGCCATGGAAGTTGAGGATGCAACCTTGTTTGTTTATTGATTCACTTGATTTGGTTCATTATTATTTTCTATCTCTCTGTCCCATAATTTTATTTTGGGATTGAAAATTATTCTGAAAAAGAAATTTCTTGCTATAAATGTTTCTGCGACCTGCATCGGTGGAGAATTGTTTTGCAGATGCTGCATGCTAAAGGAATTGTTATTGGTTAATTCTTTATCTCACATTTGCCTTAACATGTTCTTGTTTTTTGGATGAATGTTGGACAAGGCACATAATATCATCCCCCGTTTAAATCAACACTTTTCAGTTGGATTTGTTTCTATCTTGTGGCAAAGAGACATGAATTTACAAAGACATTGGATAAGAAATAGATGAGAATCAAAAGGACTCAGGATTTTTAGTTTTTTTGGTGTTTGGTGGTGCAAGAATTTGGGAAAGATAAGCTGTGTTTTGTGTGCATTCTTTATGTTCTGTGTAAGTATTAGTGATCATGTATTCATGTCCTCCTCAGTTTCTTAACAATACATTTCCCATTCAAAGCAGGTAGCCTGTTCTTGTTATTTGGAGAAGGAAATAATCATGATAAAACGCACACCAAGTAGAAATCACAGGTCCAAAGGCATCAAGTTAAGGCATGTTCTGCAAATTATTCTGTTGCTCGGTGTTTGTTTCTGGTTGATCTACCAGGTTAAGCACTCTCATGATAAGAAGAGGGAATTTGATGAAAATGATGCAAATGCGTCTGTCAGAATTCAGAATGATGATCAGATTCCAAAACTTGGTAGGAAGGATCTTCAACCTCTTAAAGATGATATAATTCAAATTGAACAGCATGAGGAAAAAGAGGAAGATGAAAATACTTTAGATGATGAGGGAAATACGCATGAACATGATGAACAAGAAGAAGGCAGCAAGCAGGAAACAGGAGAAAATCTAGACGAGCATGAATTTAGAGATCGGGAAGAAGAAGAAGGAGAAGAAGAAAGCAAGCATGGAGCAGAAGAACAAGAAGAAGAAGAAAACAAGGGTGAAGAATCAGAGGATGATGGAAGAGGAGGAGGAGATGAAGAGATAGAAGAAAATGATCAACAAAAGCCAGAAGTTGATGTTGACCATGATGAAGAGTTGATGGATGAGGATAAAGAGAGAGAGAAAGAAGAGAGTGATGAGAAGGAGAATGAAAATGGTGAGGATGAGGAAAAGGATGGTTCAATTGAAAACAAAAACACACATGAGGCAAGGGAGGAACATTACATGGCAGATGATGCTTCCAGTGCTGTAGCTCATGATGCCCAGACTACTAGCACTGAAACTGTGATTTTGACTGCCGAAAACTCCAATGAAAACTCAGAAATGAGTATTATGAAACAAGAGAATAAGCTTAATTATACTGAGGAAAGTGGTACAAATCATAATGATTCACGTAAGATTACAGGAGATGAATCAGAGGGTGGGAATGCATCGAATGCCACTGGTAATGAAAGTGGAAACACTGTCTTGTCCAGCTCAGCTGATAACTTGAATGTAAATACCACTGCAGCAGCAAACTCTGACGGTCATCTGGAAGTAAGCAGTAACCACTCTGTTGTAATCACTGAGGCTATCAATAACTCAACTGGAGACACTATCAACACACCAGGTTCTTCTGAACGGAATAAAATGGTGACTTTATCTGAATCTGAAAATGCTCAAAATACATCAGTGGATATGACAGCCAACAGTGGTGTCAAAAATGGGAAAACAGAGGAATTAGAGCAGAGTGATAGATCGAGGGAAGATAACCTGCCAGATACTAATTCCGTGGTCTCCATAAAAATTGGAAATGCAGGGGAATCTTCTAATTCTGGAGACGGTGAATCAGATAATACAATAAATCACTTTGCTTCAAATGAAACTCGGGACAGTTCTGTAAATTCTGATACAAAAGAAAATATCAATGCCTCTGTGGATGAGAAGTTGAAGGTTCGCTCTGAAATGGCAGCAGCAAATGTAACTCAGAATAGTTCAGATGCTAAGGAGAAAAATGATGCCGGAAAGGATGGGAAGTCCATCGATGATACCCAATTGGGTTCAACTAATAGAACCTCAGATTCTTCGTCTGTGAATGGAGCTGCGGATTTAGTTGAACAAGATGCCATTGATGCTTCTGATTCTCATGTCCACGATGACATGACAGAAGTTCAAACTGACTTGGATACGTTGTCGGATGTTAGAGATGATGAGACAGCTACTCTTGATGAAAATGCATTGCCGGATATTAGAAATGAGGAAAATATTCTTGAAGAAACTGCCGCAGAATAACATTTGTTTAAAAGATGGCCATTGGGTTTACGAGAGAGCTTTCCTCAATTCTCCCTGCCCCCTTTTCTTCTGACCTTTGTTTTCTGTATGTCGTTGTCAAACTCGTTTAGCTGTTAGAACCTTTTGCTTGACCCATGATGTGCTACGAGATGCTACCAAAGGTACAAATGTAGTTTAGTGGGTTTTTAGCATGAATGTCTGGATCTGTATAATTAATTTCGACTTTCCACAGCGTACAGAAATTTAGTTGCCTGCTGTGGTGTTTGCTCCATGATCCCTCATGTAGGCTACGACATGATAGCTTCTCTTGGCTAGCGCGTTTCGAACTTTACCAAATATTGCATTAGTTTGTAAGATTTTTTCTTTTTCTATTTTTGGGGGTCATTAGAATAAACCAATTTTTTTTCACTTTGGGAAGAGATTGAAGGGGGAAATATTTTGTATAAAAGGGGGGGGGGAGCATGAATGATGGGCTTGTACTAGTATTTTGCCCTCAAGCTAGTTCCGATGTGTGTAACTTAAATTCTGAATGTTATCTGATATACCTGTTATTTTGAAATTTACATTTTAATATGATATATGTCCATGCCGTGGAAAATTAATCACAGGTCATGAAAGTGTTATCCACCGAAAATTTTGTTGCACAAAATTGTGAGGCCGACTGTTCACTCTCAGTCTTCATTAAAGAAATCTAATATCCTAGGGCGGAGTCAGGATTAAAAGTGAGGGGGTTAAATTTAAATGGAGGTTGTTGTTGTTATATGTGTTTGTAATTTATTTTTTTAATTTCTTTTGATAGTTAGGAATTAAAAAATTTATTAAAATACTTTTACTAACATATAAAGCACCGATAATCAATCTAACAAGAAAGCTAGTATACATGAAATAAATATTAAATTTTACATTTTTACTAATAAAAATTTAACATTCATCATGCATCAATAATATTCTTTTCATTTAAAAATATAAATAAATTTTAATTGAATTACACTCCTCAATGAGTTAGATAATTGCTCTTAAATTAATACCATCTTTTTATATTTGTCCTTAAATTTTTTACCTAAAAATAAAAAAGTTGAGTGGTTTATTTGTTAAGAATATTTTTAAAAATTTATTAATTACATAATATAAAATTTAAAATATCTTATATTTTTAAATATTTAATTTTTAAAAAATATTTTATATTTTTAAATAAAAAGAGTATGAAATAAATAAGAAAATATAATTATGTGTAAGTGAGAGAAGGGGAGAGCTTTTTTTTTTTTTTTTTTCTTTCCAAAAGGTGGGAAGGCCACCCATCCCCACGCACAATACACACATGCATACTAAATGTGTCTGCGTGAAGGGGCGGCGTGGGGGGCCCTCACAATACACCTAGGTTTGCCCCCGCTAATATTCAATTTTAATTCTGATGACATCGGGTGGGAAAGTGGAAACTAGAAACATAGCGTAGAGCTGTAGGGTTTGTTTGATAATTTATTTTAAAAATAATTTTTTATTCTTTAAAATAAAAAAATAAAAAATAAAAAAAATTCTTTTAGTAATGTATTTTTAACAAGTATTTTAAAAAATAAAATATTATTTTAAAAAATAAAAATATAAAAATAATTTTTAAATGTTCTAAGATTATTTTTATAATATATTTTATAAAATATTAATTTTTAAAATAATAAAATAAAAATAATTTCAAATGGCTCGATAAACTTTTTTATAAAAACTATGCATTTTCTGCTCAGCTTTTATTAAAAGATACATATAACAATAGGCACATGTATTAGCCCAAAAACGAAGATAGGTACATATATCTTATTGTGTGACATGTAATGAAAGTTTAGAAATGCAAGCTTTACAAAATTTAAATCTATCAACAAAAATTTATGTAAGTAATAAAAGTTTTTATTATTTAAATAAATAGTTAAAAGTTTAAATTATAATTTTATATACATAACGATTTAGTTGAACAAAGTCTCCCTAGTATCTCGAGAAAGAATATCTTTATTATCGGCAAAACCTTTTTATACTCGTCCAAAATAGAAATTTAAATCTGATGAGCATACACACACACAAGTTAATTGATTAATCAGTCTAACCATCAAAGCAAACAACAAATATATCACGACAAATTAGAAATCATCAAGTTTATGTTAGTTCCAGAAGCTGTATGGGACTCTGGCATAGTACAGCAATCACAGTATGACAGTGAACTGAAGGAACTAAGGAACATTCAACATTTAAAGCAGCCAGAAGAGGCTTCGTCCTCGACTTCACTCTGCTCCGGCGGCATGCATGTGCCATGCTTGAATTCTCAACTTCAGTATCCAAAGCATTTAATGACATATTGGTTGACTCGGTCAAAGCGTGAACACGAACCTTCAGATTCATTGCAATACATTTAAGCGCTTTCCGATAGGAACGTGAGTGAACTGACACGTCATTTTAATTTTGGATTTTTTTAAATAAATTGGAAATAAATTAAGCTTCGTTTTGATCCTCTCATTGACTTCCTTTTCTAAATTAACGAGGTAACAACTAACAAAAGAAAACTACAGAGAATAAAACCTTGCTTATTTGCGCATTGCTGTGCAAAATGGATTATGATCTTTGAGATGAATAAAACAACAATATTTTTCAAAAATTTATCTGCAATCAACTTTTAAAAAAACTAATAATAATAATAATAATATTCAAACATGTAAGTATTCTTAATCCTCAATGTTCATATTGATGATAAGTAAATGTCATAAATCAGATAAATTATCAATAATATTCAAACATGTAAGTTTTCTTAATCCTCAATGTTCATATTGATGATAAGTAAGTGTTATAAATCAGATAAATTATCTAATTAAGTTGTTAATAGATCATTAAATTTGAAAGTGCAGTAATAGATTTGATTCTTGGGGCTCCCTCTCCCTCGCAGACATTTACGAGGTATTTTATTTCAATTAAATTAAATATTTTGCCATCCCAAATGCAAGCCAATACCAGCTGGAACGTGATTATATAAATCAGAGCGACTTCGCACGGGCAAATCATAGGATTCTCAAACATCATCTCACATCAAATTCCAAAAGAGAACACTTGAATTTAAATACTGTACGAACCCATTTTAATTTACAAGAGTACAAAACTCGACCTGTAAGCGAAAAAAGGGAACTGCAATCACGAGAAACACAAAATTAAAAACCTCATCCTGCCAGGTCATTTCACACTGTATGTCGCATTTTATATAAAAAAGAATTAGTCACTAATCACTACTCAACTAAAGTGCTTCGCAATAAACGACACTGTGGCATTGAAACGACAGGTTGATCTTGTCCGCGCAAATCAAACGACAGACACCTAAAGCTACTGCCTCAACTCCTTTCGGAGCTTCTGTGAGAACAACTTGCAAGCGTCCATGCACAAATCCATGGCTGCGGCCAAGGCCACGAACGCCGCAGCATCCTCCGTGCAGCTCACCAGCTGCACTCCGACCTCCACCTCCGGTTTGCTACACTTGCCCTCACCGCCCACCGTCGCCGACATTACGAAACCCCTGTACAAGAGTTCCTGGTCCAGCCCGAGTTCCGACCCTGATCCAGACCCGGACCTTGATCCAGAACCCAAGTCCCAGCTGCCGTTTGGACTGTTCATCGGCGTGACGCCGGAGGTGACATCAATGATTAATTTCCCGCCATGTCGTGAGCTGATGGTGGAGGACGCGAGCATCACCGGAGATGCAACGGCCCGCAGGATTTCGAAACGGTAACCGACAGCATTGGGGCTGTTATTTTCGCGCCACGCTTCCAGGCGGCCCCATGGCTTCCACGTGCCGTTGCCACCGGGTCGGAGAATCAGCCACGCGCCGGGATTGAATCGGCTGACCAGGTGAGACCCCGGCGAGGGGACGAATGGAGTTACCATTGACGCCGCCGCTACGGGTGAACCGGACAAATCGTGCACTGTGATGGACCATCCCTTTCGCTCCGCTGAATGGTCTTTTTGAGAAGTCAGTGAGGGCAACCAGGTTTTTGAATTGCTTGGCTCTGAAATAGATGACCTGGTAAAGATACGATATTTTGATTGATTGGCATCCAAGAAAAGGAAAAAAAGAAAAAAAACATAATCAGCACAGCATCGAAAATTTCTCAGCTTCTATCATCCTTTTCTCCATCAGCTTGAACATCAACAATTCAAAGTCATCAAAATAAAAAAACTGGAAAGTTAGTCACCTTGAACTCACACTGCGATCTCTGAAACTGAATTTGCAAGTAAATACGGGCTGCTTCATGCTCCCTTGGATTTGAAACACCTGAGGACTGCACTCAGGTTCACCGTCGAACCGGAACACGAATCTCGGGTCGGGTTCGGCACGAACTGTGACATGCAATAACTGCCCCGATGACGATGCCCTGTTTTTTCCGTCGAGCGCAACCCAGCCGTTCTGAAACATGCACGCTCGAAATTCGGCCATGGTCAGATCCAACGGCACAGAAATTTTGCCCAATAATTTGGCTGTATCGAATGCACACGACGGAGTTTGCCGAGACTTGTAAACAGAAATCTTCATCACTGGACTCTTGGTCGCCTTAAGTTTCTCCATCTGAAGCTTGCTCAAATCGAAGATAGCAGCAACTGAGGGAGGGTAGTTCTCGGTGTTTGGCGAAACGATGGGAACGGTGGCCAAGTGATGATGCTGATGAGAATCAAAGTCCCTGAGTTGAATCCGGCAAAAGTAAGGGGAACTTGAGGGGTGTGCTTCGCCAGGAAAAGAAGGCTTTGAGCCTGCCGGAGATGTGATGGCGAAGTTTCCGATGAGGATCCGAACAAAAGGACACGGATCCATCGGGGTTTGCGGGCGTGTGGGATGAGGGAAGAATCGATACTAACGCAGTTATCGAGAGTGGATACTGAAGTGCATTGCTGGGTATGACTGTGTATGATAACTGAATTGGACAACCTGGAACGAGTTGGATTTTTTTCTTTTGTTATATAATTTTCAATTATTTTCTCTTTATAGTTTGATAAGGATAAACTATAAAGGGATAAAGAAATTCTTAGCACCGAATGCAAATTAAACTAACCTAAATATCCTTTTAAGTTTCATCGTTTCACACAAGATACTACAAATTAAATTATTTTTAAGAAAATCACTCCAAAATTCTTTATAAAAATTATAATCACCCTAAACTCTCATCAATTACATGAATACTTGTAATGTTTCTAAAAACATAATTGTAATAAAATTTTTATGTGAACTGACGATAAAGTTTAAGTGAAGTCTTTGAGATCAACTTCAATATCTCATTCAGTTCTTCATAAAGTTTAAGTGAAGTCTTTGAGATCAACTTTAATATATCATTCAATTCTTCATTCTTCACATTCCTTTTGTTGTCTTCTTTCTTGTTATTACGACATCAAGCCCCCCTTGCTTGCCTTCTTTGTATTTGCCAAGATTTTCCTTCCCAAAGTTACAAATCCAAATTGGAGCCTCTATCTTGTTTACTTCCATGGCAATGCCTTTTGCATTGAAACTCCATTCTTCCAAAATTATCACAACAACCTCAATGTTTATGCTTCTCAAGCCAACATCAACATTGACATCTCCATCCACTACTAGAGGGCGTCTAAGCACTCGGTCTTGATTGTTGAAGATTCATGGACTACCCTGAAATGGGTCGTTTCTCATTTTGCCAAAAACTAGTTCAATTTGACTCACTGATTTTTGAAACAGTGTGCCGTAATTGGAATCAACCATCGGAACCAAATTAGAGGCATTGATTTCAATGCTAGAGCTGTACTTCTCAGTGCTCATGAGAAAAGTATCATTAGTGGAAGGGCAAGCCAGCTTGGGATTTAACTACATAGAGTGAAATCCCAGCACTTGGATTATGATTTCTGGAAATGTAAGCATCCTGGGCATATTAATGGTCATGTGGTTTATGGAATTGGTTTGATTTGATTGGAGTGAAACAGGGGTTTACAGGATTCGAGATGGTTCCTGGTGAGGAAGTATTGTTCTTTGAATTTTGTTCTTTTCAATGATAATCTACCACCGGTGTAAGATGGTCGGGATGAACAAGAAGTGCTGGAGCTAATCCCAAGTACCTCACTTGGTCTTTTTCATCATTTCACATAAAAATATGATTAGAACCAAATTTCTTAGGACCTCACAGGCATTTGTGCAATTAGTGGTACTTTAATGTGATTACAATTCTTGTGGGGCATTTTGGAACGATTTTCCCATTATCTGTTTGAAAAGCTGTTGTTGTTTTAATATTATGTAAGTTCTATTGAAATTAATGAAAGAAATTGAAAGATTAAAATAAAAGTTGCAGTTTCCTATTGAAATAATAAACAAATTACATGGGACGAGTCCAGCCTCATAGCTCATGTCATATTCCTTCCTTTTAAAAAAAAAATAACATATTTTTTTGAGATTAGATTTTAAAAAATATAAAATATTTTTTATTTTTAAACATGTAATTAACATTTTTTAAAAAAATATTTTTAATAGATAAATTACTCAATCATTCATGTTAGATGCCTTATTAAATAAAAGCAAATTTAAATAGACGATAATAGTTTAGAGACAATTAGATAAATTGTTGGGAGTGTAGTATAATTAAAAATATCTTTTAACAGAGGGAGCATTTATATTGATTTTTTTAATATATCAAAACATTAAAACATATATTTTTAAATTTTTTGATGTTATAAATTTTTTTAAATATATATATATATTTATAATATGTGATGTTATAAAAATATTAATTTTCAAAAACAAATACCTAATATAAAATAATTTTTTTTATTGAGGATCAATTGCACAAATCTATAAAATAAAGTCTGATTTAATTATTTCTTATTTATTAGGTGGGAGCATGGTCTTTAAACTCCCAAGTTTACATAAATTTGAAATGACAATGTCAATTCGTAACATAAACTTGAATCATTGACTTGTAAGAATTTATTTTTATCAATTAACATTCCCTCCATTCTTTGATATGAGATAAAATTAACAATATGAGATATATTTTTATCAATATCCTTTGCTTGCAAGAAACAAAATGGCGTGGAGAAGAAACTAAGGATATTCAAGGTTTCAAACTTTAGTATACAGGAAAAGTAAGTGCACGCAATGGAGTAGGCATCATTATAGATAAGGAGTGGAAGAAGAACGTTGTAGAAGTTAGCAGAATTGGAGACAGAATTATTTCTTTAAAAATGATAATTGGACGTGAGACTGTTAATATTGTTAGTGCTTATGCGCCGCAAGTCGGGACAGAAGCCAGTCTTAAGGAATTATTTTGGGAGGATCTGGAGGGGTTGATTCGACACATATCACAGAGTGAAAAGATTTTTATTGGAGGAGACTTTAATGGGCATGTCGGGAGGGAAGCTGGTCAGTATGCGAGGGTGCATGGTGGTTTTGGTTTTGGAGAGCTAAACAATGAAGGACAAACTCTTCTTGATTTCTCATTGGCGTATGATTTTAAGATTGCCAACACTTGTTTCAAGAAGAGAGATGAGCATCTCATCACTTACAAAAGTGGAGCCTCAAGGTCGCAAATTGATTTTCTTTTGGTTAGGAACACAGATAGAAAACTTTGTAAAAATTGTAAGGTGATCCCCGGAGATGCTGTAACGACACAACATAGGGTCCTAGTCCTTGATGTGTGTATTATGAGTAAAATCCAAAAACGTTGACAAGTAGTAACACCAAGGATTAGGTGGTGGCAATTAAAAGGTGAGAAGCAAGATATTTTCAAGCGAAATCTTTTGGATAAAGGAATTTAGGATTCTCAGGGAAGTGCTAACATCATATGGGAGGATATGGCTAAAAAGATACGGGAGGTTGCAAAAGTAGTTTTGGGAGAATCGAAAGGTTCTGGTCCGAGAGATAAGGAGTCTTGGTGGTGGAATAATAGTGTACAGGACAAAATCAAGTATAAGAAGAACTGTTTTAAAGCCATACATTTGTGTAACAATGAGGAAAATTGGGAGAGGTACCGTATGGCTAAGAAGGAAACTAAGAGAGCTGTGGGTGAAGCTCGTTCTAAAGCTTTTGAAGAATTTTATAAGAACCTTGAGACGAAGGAAGGAGAGCAAAATATTTATAAGATTGCCAAGAGTAGGGAAAGAAAATCAAGAGATCTAGAACAGATAAGGTGTATTAAGGATGAAGAGGGAAGAATTTTAGTTACAGATGATGAAATTAAAAATAGATGGGAGACTTATTTTTCTAAACTTTTCAATGACGGAGAGGATTCATCTGGTAACTTGGAGGATTTAGTAACTGGTGAAGGAGAACAAAATTTGTCATTCTATCGAAAAATACGTGATAAGGAAGTAAAGGAAGCTCTTAAGAAAATGGCAAATGGTAGAGCCAACGGACCTGATTGTATATCTATCGAAGCATGGAAATGTTTAGGTGAAGAAGGGGTGAGATGGTTAACTAAGTTATTTAATGTGATTTTACGGTCCAAGAAAATGCCTGATGAGTGGAGGAGAAGTACATTAATTTCTATTTATAAAAATAAAGGAGATATTCAGAATTGTACTAACTATAGAGGGATTAAACTCATGAGCCACACAATGAAATTGTGGGAGAAAGTAATTGAGCACAGGTTGAGATTGGAGACAAGTATTTCTGAGAATCAATTTGGTTTTATGCCAGGTAGATCAACTACAGAGGCGATTTATCTACTAAGGGAATTAATGGAAAAGTATCGTTGTAAAGATAAAGATCTACACATGGTTTTTATCGATTTGGAAAAAGCTTATGACCGTATACCAAGAGAAGTGCTTTGGAAAGCGTTGGAAAAAAAAGGAGTACGGATTGCTTATATTAAAGCCATACGAGATATGTATGAGGGGGTAAAAACTAGTATAAGAACGCCTAGTGGTCAAACAAAGGATTTTCCTATAAAGATTGGATTACATCAGGGATCATCTCTAAGTCCTTATTTGTTCAACTTGATTTTAAATGTTTTGACGGAACATATTCAAGAGGAAATCCCGAAATGTATGCTCTTCGCGGATGATATAGTTCTTATAGCAGAGACAAGAGAAGAGGTTAATTGCAAACTTGAGTTATGGAGGAGAACATTGGAGTCGAAAGGTTTTCGTCTGAGTAGAAGTAAGACGGAATATTTATATTGTAAATTTGGTAAAGGACTATTTGAAAATAATTTGGAAGTAAAATTGGGAGATCAAATTATACCTCAAGTGAAAAAGTTTAGATATTTGGGAGCCATTATTCAAAATGATGGCGAAATCAGTGGAGATATTTCACATAGAATTCAAGCTGGGTGGTTTAATTGGAGAAAAGCTAAAGGAGTTATTTGTGACCGTAAGGTGCCTAATAAACTTAAAGGAAAGTTTTATCGTACTGCTATCAGACCGGTAATGTTATATAGTAGTGAATGCTGGGCTCTAACGGGACAGCAAGAGCATAAAGTTGGAGTAGCAGAGATGAGAATGTTACGATGGATGTGCGGACATACATGTAAAGATAAAATTCGAAATGAGCACATACGCGAAAAAGTGAGGGTGGCACCTATTGAGGAAAAAATGGTAGAAAATCGGTTGAGATGGTTTGGGCATGTACAAAGAAGACCAAGAGAGGCACCAGTGAGAAGAGTGAAACATATAACTTTGAGTCCGATTAAGAGAGGTAGAGGAAGGCCTAAGAGAACACTCTTGGAAGTTATTGAACGTGATCTTTTAATTAATAATATTTCTAAAAGCTTGATAAATGATAGAGCACAATGGCGTCTTGCAATCTATGTAGCCGACTCCACCTAGTGGGATAAAGGCTTATTGTTGTTGTTGTTGTTGTTGTATAAAAGGTTTTATTTTGATCCCTTTATTTAAAAAAGTATATTTTTAATCATTTAATCATAACACTGCTAGTTTCATTACAAAAAAAAAATTTCATTAAACTTTTAAA